ACTAATCTGGTTATAGGGAAATTACTTGTACTCGGTTTATTTTCCTAACAACTGGTAATCAGAGCTTTTGGTTGTGAATTTTGTCAAATTTTCTGCGAGGTTACTATTCATTACTATTCACGTGAATAGTGAATTTCGTGAATAGTGAAATTCGGTCGGCGATACGAGTTTGTCGACGGTGGTGTTCTAATACACGGTGATTCGCAAGAATTGTCAGAAACGATCCAAACGAAGCCAGATTCGAGTGGGAGCGATGGCTGCAGACGAAGGGAAGGTGAAAATTGAAAAGTTCGATGGTGCGGACTTTGGCTTTTGGAAGATGCAGATTGAAGATTTTTTGTACCAGAAAAATCTATATCAACCTCTCTCAGGAAAGCAACCAGAGGGCATGAAGGATGAAGATTGGGCTCTTCTCGACAGACAAGCCCTCGGAGTTATCCGACTAACGTTATCCCGCAATGTTGCTTTTAACATAGCAAAGGAAAAGACCACGGCGGGTCTTATGGCGGCTCTCTCCAGTATGTACGAGAAGCCATCGGCCTCAAACAAAGTTCATTTGATGAGGCGATTATTCAATTTGCGGATGGCGGAAGGGGCATCGGTGGCACAACACCTAAATGAACTCAACACAATCACAACCCAGTTGAGTTCAGTGGAAATTGAGTTCGATGATGAAGTTCGAGCTTTAATTCTCTTATCATCTCTACCAGACAGTTGGAATGCTACTGTTACAGCAGTCAGCAGTTCGTCGGGAAACAGCAAATTAAAATTCGACGATGTTCGGGATCTGGTATTGAGTGAAGAAATTCGACGAAGAGAATCGGGTGAAGCATCAACCTCCTCAGCCTTACACACGGAGTCTAGAGGGAGAACTTCAGAAAGAAATTCAAATCGTGGCAGATCAAAATCTAGAAGGGGCAAATCAAGAACAGGAAATAAAGATTTTACCTGTTATAATTGCGGCAAAAAGGGTCACTTCAAAAGAGATTGTCGAGCACCGAAGAAAAATACCGGCGCACAGGAATCTGCCAACATGACGGAAGAGACAGGTGATGCCATGATTTTAAGCGTCAACAGTCCGATTGAATCATGGATCTTGGATTCAGGGGCATCTTTCCACTCCACCCCATGCCGAGAAATCATGGAGAACTATGTCAGTGGTGATTTTGGGAAGGTTCATCTAGCTGATGATGAAACCTTGAAGATCGTCGGAAAAGGAGACATCCGAATAAAGCTGCCAAACCAGACCACCTGGAAGCTGACAGGAGTGAGACATATTCCTGGCCTCAAAAGAAATCTGATTTCTGTTGGGCAGCTTGATGGAGAAGGATATAGTACAACTTTTCAGGCTGTGAATGGAAGATTACCAAAGGAGCACTCGTCATTGCTCGTGGTAAGAAGACCGGTACTCTCTATGTAACCTCAAATTTAGAGAATATCATTGCAGTAGCAGATGCTGATGGAAAATCAACCTATGGCACCAAAGGCTCGGCCATATGAGCGAGAAAGGAATGAAGATACTTCTGTCAAAAGGGAAGCTGCCGGATCTAAAGAATGTAGATGTCGGACTATGCGAGGATTGCATCTTTGGCAAACAAAAGAAAGTCAGTTTTGCAAAGATTGGCAAGACACCCAAGGCAGAAAGGTTAGAGTTGGTTCATACTGATGTATAGGGACCATCCCCAGTTCCATCTCTTGCGGGCTCACTATATTATGTCACCTTCATCGATGATTCAACAAGGAAGGTGTGGTTTATTTTCTGAAGAAGAAATCAGAAGTCTTTGATACCTTCAGAAAATGGAAGGCCATGGTGGAAAATGAGTCTGGTTTGAAAGTCAAGCGGTTGAGGTCTGACAATGGAGGAGAATACAGAGACAGTAGATTCAGAGATTTCTGCGTAAACAATGGGATCAAGATGAAGACAACAGTTCCCATAACACCGCAGCAGAATGGCGTAGCAGAGCGCATGAACAGAACTCTGAATGAACGTGCCAGAAGCATGAGGATACATGCCGGATTGCCCAAATTTCTATGGGCTGAAGCTATCAACACTGCAGCTTACTTGATCAACCGTGGGCCCTCAGTTCCTTTGGATGGCGGAATACCAGAGGAAGCTTGGAGCAAGAAAGAAATAAACCTTTCATACTTAAGAGTGTTTGGTTGTATTTCTTATGTACACATAAACTCTGCTGAAAGAAGTAAACTTGATGCCAAGTCCAACAAATGCGTCTTTGTTGGTTACGGTGGTGATGAGTTCGGTTACCGGTTTTGGGACTACGAAAATCGAAAGATCATCAGAAGCAGAGACGTCATTTTCAATGAAAATGTGATGTACAAAGATAGGTCAACCGCAGAATCAAGTAATACCAAAGCTGAAACAAAGGAATTTGCTGAGTTCTAGGAGATTTCTGGAAATGATGTTCAGATCAATCCTGAAGCAGTTCAAGAAGAACCAGGCACACAAGAACTGAGACGCTCCTCCAGAATTCCTAAACCAACCCAACGGTATTCTCCTTCTTTACACTACTTGTTGCTGACTGACAATGGTGAACCAGAGTGCTATGATGAAGCAATGCAAGTGGAGGATTCAGTCAAGTGGGAGTTTTCCATGAAAGATGAGATGGACTCGCTTATGTCAAATCAGACATGGGAATTAGCTGAATTACCACCAGGCAAGAAAGCGCTCCACAACAAGTGGATTTACAGGATCAAAGAATAGCACGATGGGAGCAAACGCTACAAAGCAAGATTGGTTGTCAAAGGCTTTCAGCAAAAGAAGGTATTGACTACAATGAAATTTTCTCTCCAGTCGTAAAATTGTCTACAATCAGACTGGTGTTGAAAATTGTAGCTGCAGAGAATTTACATCTTGAGCAGTTAGATGTAAAGACAGCTTTCCTTCATGGTGATTTGGAGGAAGAAATCTATATGAGGCAGTCAGAAGGCTTCATAGAGGCAGACAAGAAAAACCTGGTATGCAGGTTGAAGAAGAGCTTGTATGGTTTAAAACAAGCTCCTAGACAGTGGTACAAGAAGTTCGATAGTTTCATGAGTAGCAGTGGTTTTATCAGATGCCAAGCAGATCATTGTTGCTACATCAAGAGGTTCGACAACAGCTTCATTATTTTATTATTGTACGTTGATGACATGCTCGTTGCAGGCTCAGACATGCAAGAGATTATACACTTGAAGCAAAAATTGTCGAAGCAGTTTGCTATGAAGGATATGGGCGCTGCAAAGCAGATTCTTGGGATGAGGATCAAGAGAGACACAAAGTCGGGGACTTTGATGTTATCACAGGCTGAGTACATCAACAAAGTACTCTCCAGGTTCAACATGCAAGATGCTAAACCAGTAAGTACACCTTTAGGTGTTCATTTCAGACTCTCCAAAGACCAATCACCAAAGACGGAGGAAGAACGTGCACACATGGTGAAGGTGCCGTATGCCTCAGCAATTGGAAGTCTGATGTATGCCATGGTTTGTACCAGACCAGATATTGCTCATGCAGTGGGAGCTGTTAGCAGGTACATGAATAATCCGGGCAAGGTACACTGGGAAGCAGTCAAATGGATCCTCAGATATCTTCGGGGTACCACAAACAAAGCACTTTGTTTCAAAGGTGGAGATATGATACTGACAGGCTATGTAGATGCTGACTTAGCCGGAAATGTCGACATCAGAAGGAGCACTACAGGGTATGTCTATACTCTAGGAGGAACTGCAGTGAGTTGGGTTTCTCAACTACAGAAGATAGTTGCTCTCTCCACAACTGAAGCAGAATATGTCGCTGTTACGAAAGCCAGCAAGGAGATGGTTTGGCTCCAAAGTTTCTTGGAAGAGTTAGGCAAGAAACAAGAAAACAATATCTTGTATTGCGACAGTCAAAGTTCTATCCATCTAGCAAAGAATCCGTCTTTTCATTCCAGGACAAAGCACATACAATTGAGATATCATTTTATCCGGTCTCTTCTGGAAGATGGGATTTTGAAACTTGAAAAGATTAGTGGAGCTCAAAATCCGGCAGACATGTTGACAAAGACGGTGACTACGGACAAACTGAAGTTGTATTCAACTTCAGTTGGCATGCTAGAATAACAAGACCATACATGCTGCTGCATTGATCGAGGTGTGAAGACATATTAAAATCAGTCTTCAAGTGGGAGATTGTTAAAAGTTTCAAAGTTTGGCAACCAACTTTGGAAAATGTTTTTTTCAAAGTTTGGTAAATGTTTCTTTGAAAAATGTTTTTCAAAGTTTGGTAAAATTTTGGTAGATGTTTGTTGAAAATAGGAATGGGTAAATTCACTTTAGTCATTGCACTTTAGGGTATTTTCAAAGATTAGTCCCTAAGTTTCTACTATAAATACTCTTACCCATTTAGCTTCAAAATCATCCCAAAACATTTCTTTCTTCCTATACTAGAGAGCTTTCTTGTGAGTAGTGAGTGTTTTGTAAACACCTGTAAATTTTCTCTCTTAGTAAAAGATCTGCAGCAGCCCGGAGACGTAAGCACAATTGGCTGAACTCCGTTATCAATTTTCGGGTATTATTTTTCCGCTTTTATTTTGCATTCTCACTAATCTGGTTATAGGGAAATTACTTGTACTCGGTTTATTTTCCTAACAACAACACAAATATAAAGTATATTTTTCATTGAAAATACATAAAATATATCCTACATGTGTCATCAATCATCCAATGGTTTACGATTTCGGACTTGATTAACACCATTATTATTAGAAGGTATAGGAGGATGAAAGTGTGCTTAAACATTTATTATCTTCCGATTTACAAATAAGAAATCTTATTAGTTTAGACGTTATATACACTAACCGTTTAAACCAGAAGTCTACAACAATTTCAACACCGACTGAACTATTACCAAGTGGGTTTCATCCAATAATTTACGTAGAGGCCAGTGGCTCACACCTCCAACACTCTCCCGATCCATTCCTGACCCCAATTGGTGAGTTGCAGACACAATGGTATGATGGTTCATTTTTATTGCAATCGGAATATAGCATCTTATCCTCTCATAGTTCTCCAGGCCTGAACATGGAGCGTCTTCAATTAGGCACCACGAATGGTATTGAAGAATCCGAATCCATGAGACATTTAGCATATTAGTGTTTATTCTCAAAAACAAGTATCCTATACCTAAATTTAATTAAAACAAACCAAGATAATTAAAATCCACTTGATGCTTTGCTTTTTGTTTAGCTTTTGTAGCCATTGGTGCGTTCCTAGACATGGAATCCGCCGGTGTTTGGTTTTCTTTGGAGAGAAAGGTGCACACCGGGGTCATGGTGAGTGCATGAAGAATTATAGACGATCGAGTTGTTAACGCCTTGCACATTGCTGTTCATGAACGCATTCATTGGCAAAGTGTTCGATCCGCTGCTCTTTCCCTTCATCTTTCTATCGCCTTCCTCGACGCTGCTGCCATAACTATGGTACACGCTTCCATCACTGCTTCCGGTCACTGGCTTCTGGAGCCGATGAGGACTGCCCTGGAAACCATTTCTGTGGGGTGATTTGATTAGCTCCATGAAAGAACCTTTGTTCTCACCAGCGATTGTTATGATCCTCATACCAGAATCCTCCGAGTCCGAAGAGAACTTCTTGCCATTGCCTTTCTCCTTTGTTTCTCCATGCTTGGTCGGTTCCCTCTGTCCATGAATGCGAGTGTCGTCGAGATCCTTTTGAGGGGCACTGAAAAGCCCGTTGGGCTTGTCGATCATCTTTTGAACGAGCACTGTCTTTTGCTCTGCCTCGACAGGGATCTTAGGCTCGAGATCAGCTTGAGCTCTTATCTGGGGAGGTGGGAGAGTTAAAGGGGAAGGTGGTGGAGCAGTTGGTGGTTTGATCTTTGGTGATTGAGTTGGAGATTGCATGGAAGGTTTGACTGTCGATGCTTGAGGGCTAGCCACACGATTCGTAGTGGTCGTAAAGTTAGTCACCGATGTTGTAGTAGGAGATGTCTTGGCTGGTGAAGTTGGAACCGAGGAAGTAGTAGTCGCCACTGACTTGGCTGGAGAAGAGGGAATAGAGGCAGTAGTCGCCACTGACTTGGCTGGAGAAGAGGGAACAGAGGCAGTAGTCGCCACTGACTTGGCTGGAGAAGAGGGAACAGAGGCAGTAGTCGCCACTGGCTTGGCTGGAGAAGATGGCAATGACGCCGTTTTTGCCGGTTTCGGTGGAGAAACAGGTGACCTCGCAGCAGTTGGAGCCGTTTTCAACGGGGAATTGGGCACCGAAGCAGTTGTAGAACTAACTTCAGACGTAGGATTTTTGGCAGGAGAAGACGGCTGAGATCCTCTACCGACAGACGCAGGTGATGCCGGAAGGGAGGAAGCACCTCCCGTAGGTCGGAATGCAGGTATAATCGTGGTTGATCGTGGCAGGGCAGGAGCAGGTTCAGGTGTTGGAGCAGGTGCTTGGGGTTGTGGCCTTGAAATGGATGCTAAACGAAACCATGGACGAGTTGGGGCCTGTTGGTTCGACATAATCGAGAGAGTCTAAAAAGATAGCGAATGCTACGAACTAACCCAAGTAGAAATGTCGAACGAATGGATACGCATAAAAGACTACCAGAAATGTACTTATATAGTGATCTAGGTTAGAAGAATAAGATGACAAAAAGTAAAGGATCCCACAAGATAAAACTCCAAGGCATCCAATACTATGCACATAACAGCTGACAAAAGTTTAACATCTTACGGTAGGTATCAAATTGAGTAATTTAGAAGATCTTCTTTTTTCTTTTTTCTAGAGGGGATTCATTGAACTCATGAAACTGAAGTTTCTGTCGACGCCTTGCATGGCTGCCTTTAATCTCATGTTTAACAACTTGGAAAAGGAATTTCTTTACAGTGATTTTACAGCTCATTTTGTATGAAACATTAACCGGAGCCTTTCATGTCTGGAATCCTTGGCTACATAGTCATATTTGATTGGACCGTTTTCAATTGCTCACCCAACAAGGCAATTCTAATTCCATTCCTTGCAGAAATGGAAAATATTCTTGAATAACGGTCGTGGAATTCATGCAACTTTATATTCATCATATTTAAGTTTTAGCCTCTGTTAATGCACTTAAGTTTTGGGTCAACTACAACATCAGTCACTAAACTTAAGATTATGTATCGATTTTAACATTAAACTTTAAAATATTTTAATTTCAACATTGAACTGACTCGTTAAACCATTAATCGTGTGATGACATGGTCGTTTCTTCCTCACTTATCTATAGAAAACCATAAATTACTTAAACCGTCATCGATTGTCATTCTTGATAAGATCGATAACAAAACTTTTGTGTTTCACTTGTTTTTCTTCTCCTCAAATTAATTTTCACAAAACTCACTCAAAATCGCTACATTCATCTAAAGGATCAATCTTCTAATGCTTTGATCTCTTCCAATGATCATCTAACGAGACTAGTTTCTATGTATGATGTTCTTATTCTCAAAAGAATACTTCTCATCATTTGAATTTTCGATCAGTCACCTAATATCTCTCAAATCCAAGAAAGCTCAAAACTCCCAAAAAAACCATGAATTTTTATGTTTAATTTTGTGAGTTTTAAAGAGGTTTTGAGAAGAAAAAAAACACGAGATAAGTTCATTGATGTCTAAGATAATTGCAAAAGACACTGAAAAATGAAAATTTCCAGGAATAACAGAAAATGTGAAAAAAATAGAACATGATTAATATGTAAAATATGACAAGGTGGAACAAAATTATTTTTTTTAACTTTCGCATAAATACATGTCAACTTGTATGTCAACATCAAACTATCACATTTTTTTATTGTTAGTGGTTTAACCATACAATAGATTAACTGAAAGGTGGATTAAAATTCATTGTTAAAATTGTTCTGAAGTTGAATGTTAAAATTGATGCATATCCTACTTTTAATTACTAAGGGTGTAATTTACCCTAATTTTTTTTTTCAGTGACCCCTATCTTTTGTTATCCCATGATCACTGCAACCGCTGCTTTTGTATGAATGAGTTGGCTGGAATATTAATTCTTGCACTTAACATATATTCTTAACAAGGAAAACTTCTTCAAAGAGTATTTTTGTCCCACAGCCAACTCTTAATAAATATTCTTGCAATTGCAGGAGAAATTTGATGCCGCTGCTGTCTGTTTCTTCCCTCTGACTTTGCTAGCAGACATTACTTGAGAACAAACTTTTACGGCTGGTTCTTCTTTTATTTTGTTTGACCCTGAGTTTCTAACAACATTAGAGTGTTTCTCTCAGTTGCTTTCCTGTCGGAAACACCAACTCTTTTTCTTTACCAATTGTCTCAAAACATGAAACGATTTCTTATGGTGGGACCTTGGAACCCATCTTCGCACATCCCCCAGGCTATTCAATGGACGAAGCCTGCTCATGGTTGGATTAGTTTAAACACGGACGGAGCCGCTTCCGAAAACTTAACGCGTAGTTCTGCTGGAGGTGTGCTACGAGATCACTAAGGTAATTGGCTTCTTGGTTTCAGCCGATCCATTGGTTTTTGCTTTACCCTCAAAGCTGAATTCTGGGGCATGCTTCTAGGCCTGATACTTGCATGGGAAAATGGCTACAGACACGTTCATCTCCAGTCTGATTGCCTTGAGGTAGTCCGTCTCGTAAATGACAATCACTATGCAAAGTACTCCTTGATCCGATTAATCAACCATATCAGGGAGCGTCAATGGAAAACAAGAGTCGAATGGTTCCCCCCAAGAAGCAAATAGGATCGCGGATGCCCTTGCTCACTCCCAAGATGATATTCTTGTTGGTCTGCACGTTTACATAGAGCTCCCGATGTCTATCTTGGATCTGCTTAATCGTGATTGCTATGGCCCCTTTACATGAGAGCTTAATGTAACCTTGCTGTCTTTACAATTCAAAAAAATAAAATATTGAATGTCAATTTAAAAAAAGGTATTCATAACTTTTTAATTTTGAATATTAAAAATAATTATATACTTTTGTATATTCTAAATTAAAATAATATTTATTTAATTGAAATAATAAAGGAGGATATATATGTTTAATATTTTATTTCCTTTTTAACTCTCTTTTGTTTTAAATAATTTGATTTCTTTATTTTTACTTTTTCTCATGTTCCAATTTTATCTCGGATTGTTACTTTGGTTAACGGTATTTACTAAGCCTACATAAAAGTATAATCCTACACCTAAATCTAGTACTCGTGGTGCAGTATAAGCACTTGTACTACAGAAAATACTTGAATCTGCAGGTTAAATGTCAACTCTCTATTATATTTCCATGGGGTCTGCATGTGCAAATAATGACAAGCTTCACCAATTTAGTTTGTTCATATACAAATTCTCGGTATCTACTCGCTATTGCTCAGTGCATTTAAGCATTTCAATCATGTGATTAGGTGCCTTTGATGAATCCAAGTACCGAATAAGTAAGCTGGTATTTATTCCATGAAATTTCAAGGTGGGAATGAAGCACAATTAATTGGTTTCATATTAAAGATTGAAGCACAAGAATCATAACCGCTCTGACGTATTCATTATATGTTTGATGGGTAAGTTTTCGATGATACAAGCTCCTAAGCAGAGATAGTAAACACAGTACCAGGCAAGATCAAGGCCATTTAGTGAACTCGAAAACTTTGAGAACGATTTCTATACCTGTGGGGATTTGCCAGATAAAAAGAATAACATTAACTGCATTCAAGGCAATGTGAACGCTCCTTGCAGTCTCATTCCCTTTTTGCATTGCCGGTACTAGCGCTGCAGCTGCAGCCCATAACACCGTAATAGCTGCAAAACAAACACCAAGACAGAAAAGTGGAGTCACTTCCTACACACTTAAAATATTGAAGTTCCTATTTTTCATTAATATTCTCAGAGAAGTCAGAATCATAAGGTGTACCTGCTCCTGCAAACAGATGGGGACCTGGGTAAAGCTTTCCTGACCTAAACCATGTGTTGAGACCTCCACCAACAGACTCAAAAACCCCAAACCCTAGCAGTATTGATCCAGCATTGAAGTGTCTATCCCTGTATGACCCTTTCACCAGCTCCTTCCTCTCCTGAAAGATCACAAATGTTCGTATAGTTTCAGAGCATATAAGGCATAGCAATTATACATGATTTCAAAAAGAATTATGCTATTTAAGTAGTGTTATTACATATCAGTGAATTCAAGTTGAGCATGTCTACTTATTGAGAGTTAGTTTTACCTCTTTTAGCTTGAGCTGTTTTACAAGAAACCTCTATCTCCCTAGTGATTTTCGAATTAGTACAGACGACCCTAATCAGTGAACACTAGTGATCCAATGCAGTAAGACTTGTGATCCAATTAGCATACAATTTATTATAAAACTATTGAGTAAAACAAACAATTCACAACCTTAAGAGTTGATTCATTTATAATTGTGTATTAGTATTTCAAAGAACGGTTTGCATCCCAATCAATCATATTTCATTCCTATTAAACGAACCAAAGAAACTAATCCTATGGAATTACTGTGTATATAAGTAGCATTGGGCTTGAGGCATGTAGAGAACTTGCCCCCACAAAGCCGGAAAGCCCTCCAAACTCTAACTAGAACTAGTTAAAATGGCCTAACATAATTGTGTAAGAGTTTTGTTGTTGTAAAGTAAGAATTGTAACTCCAAAAGACAACTTTTATAATGTAAGACTTGTCTCTAATCGTGAACTCTCCTAGAGGATGTAGGATATAGATACACCCCAAAGTCTAAATCTTTATAAACTACTAATATCAACTACAATTATAGAGAAATCATTGGATATCACATTAACAGAGATCGGGACATGAAATCTTGGGTTCATGCACAAATATTGGGATGACCTGCAAGTTAAAACAATATTAAAAGTTGGGTTGAAATGAAGCAAACCTCAGTGAGCTTCTGAATTTCGAGTTCGACGGAAGACGGGGGTGCTTCCACTGGTTTCCCTTCTGGGGTAACAGCAGCGGGCGTAACTTGTTTTTTGAGCTCATTAATCTCATTCTGGATGGTCCTGACTCGCCTCCATTGCCAACCCAAGTAGCCAGCCCACAAAGAGTAAAAGAACAGACCACCCATGACAATTGGGTGTATAAGTGCTACACTTCTTCCCTCAAGAATCCCAAACTCTCCATTAACAGCAAGAGCATCCTTTTATTCATTGAAAAAAAATGACATCAAAGGACATTCCAAAATGAAAAGAAAAGAACAATGAGGATTGCATTTGTTTTCACCTGTGTGTCAAAGAAGAAGGGCAATGCGACGGTTGTAAGGGGAAGAGAAGCTGATTTCAGGTGACGAAAGGTTTCGGTGAAGAGTTTTGGAGGGTTAACCGACTCGTTGCGGATGATTTGCTTAGTGGGGATCGAAAGGAGTGGCAATTTAGATTGGAGATGGTGTGTGTTTGGGGGTAAAATGGGGGATTTGAGTAGGCTGAGTGTGGCTGCCAAGCTCTCTAACTCTGTCTTCTAGGAGAGCCGGGCTGAGAGTTAAGAATGATGAAACTGTATACAACGAAGCTGTAGGAAAAGATAAGAAACAAGAGATCCAAGATGTGTGTTGCATCTTGACGTGCTTTGCTCTAATTTGTTTTTACTTCATAAACGGGTCCCACCAGTTAACCTTTTAGGCCTGGACTCCTAAACTCTCGCTAAATGCACGTGGATAACTATTTGCTTTGTTGGGTTTAGGGTATAAATGTATAGAGCATATTGTTTGATTTTTAAGTGATATAAATAAGTTTTATTTATATATATTTAATAAGTCAACTAATATAACTAAGTATAATGTATTGATTTGTTTATAAGTTTATTTACACATTTTATTTTTTCTTTTATTTTTTATAACTTTTTTAATAATATATAGTAAGTATGAGGCAATATATGTTCAAAGATAATTTTCACCCATTTAACATTGAACGGTCACACCCATGACCTCAAAGAATAATAACAATTCATTTACCACCGAGATCATTTGGTTCATGTTATTTTTTTATAACTTAAATATTAGTAAAAATAGGGACTAAATTGAACACAATGTAAACTTTGTTCAAGCTGTAGAATCTAAAAAGTTTAAAAACTAGTAGTATAATTTAACTATATTTCTTTAACCGGCAAATAAAAGAGTAAAATGAATGTGCAACCCACATTTTCACTAAACGAACATGTTGACGAATATATAAACGAATATGTACGTGAACGTTAAACGAACATGTTCATGTACACTAAATGAATTGAACAAAATCACTTTTAACAATAAACAGCAAACACATACATAATATTAAAAATTTAAACAAACACAAACTAAATATAAACATAATTTTTTTTTATAAAAGTTGTTAGTTTTATTATAAATATGAAATATCCAAAATCTACAATAAACGTTTACGACCATAAACGTAAACTAAATATATAACTATGACATTTTCCTAAAATCATCAACACAAAAACTAGTCACTTAAGATCACACAAGAACCATATAAGAAAGATTAAAAATTTAACAAAAAATAGATACAAACAGATATGACTATATCGACATATGAATCATAAAATGAAATAAAACTATTGAAAGAATACCGACGAATGACAAATCAGAATCGAGCGAAGTGAAAAAAAAAACTATTCAAAAACGTAAATTGTGTATCCAAATCTAATCAGATGGTCTAAAGTAAAGAAAATCATCATGATAACAAATAAACATCATCATGATAACAAATAAACATCATCTTAATTAATCGTGACGATCAATCTAACCATGAGAAAAAAAATAAACTAAAATAATAACCAAACAACAAATGCGTATCACAAAAATAGAAAAAATATTTATAAATACAAAGAAAAATAAACTCTAAAGTAGAAAATAATACATGTTATAAAAACAACACTAAATATAAGCATATTTAAATATAAAACAAATAAACAAAGATATAACCTTATTGTTTAAACTCATTAATTTACCTTTTTTTTAATAGGTTTGAAAAGTATTACGGTTGAGATGGGTCTAGAAAACATCAAGGGAAGGAAAGGGTGCTGCCAATGTGTGGAGGATCGATCATTTCTATTAAAAAAATTGACGGTCATCTAAATTATATGTTATTTGTTGATTGAGATATGATAAAATAATATTTTAATTATGTTTACTGGCACTGTCGTTGCTTTCAAGCACTAGCTCGATAATATAAGGTTTCAAACATTGACTTGATGACACAATATAAATGGAGAATTGATCCATAAAGTACAACTCAAATGGTATGACACTATTTTGTTGAGTTCTCCAACTATTAAAAATTATAAAATAATCACTCGACTATTCATATGTTTCAAATTTATCATTTTCCATTAAAAAATTGAAGGTTGTCTAAACTATACGTTAATATGCTGATTGAGATATGATAAAATTATATTTTAATTATATTTATTGGCACTGTCGTTGCTTTCAAGCACTAGCTCGGCGATATAATTTTTCAAACATTGGCTCAATTACACAATATAAATGGAGAGTGATCCATAAAATACAACCGAAATGGTATTGAGATACGATTTTATCATATTTCATCAACATGTTAACGTTCACCTCAGACGACCTCTAATTTTTAACAAAAAAGGGCGAGTTGGAAACATATGAATAATCTGGTGACTGTTTTATAAGTTTTCATAATTGAATGACTCAACAAAGTAATATCCTATAGTTGGGAGACTCAAAAAAGTTACATCTTATAATCACTGGCCATTTGTGTATTTTACCCTTAAATTTAAAATTTAGAAAACCGTTGATAATTTAAACAATATAATTAATGTTTGATTAAAACTCATTTTTATTGAGACATTATGTAATGTATATTTTATAATAAAATCCAAAACATGATATATTTTATAATATTTAAAAAATTCAGTGTCCAAAGTTCTGCTTTATCTGAATTCCATCACTTCCATCGAAGATTTCGATTTCTCCACCGGCAAGATATCTAATGAAATCGTCCTCCATCTTGACCCAAACCAAATAATTGAGGACAAGTTTTTCTGGATTAACGAAGACAACACTTTGGTGTTAAAGATTCGGAAAGCCGACAAACGAAGAGTTCTCCGTGTTGAAATGTCAAAGCTTGGAAAATTGGTTCAAGTTAGGCACTTAATATTGTAATGTCAAAATTAGGTGCAACAATGTCAAAATTAGGTGCAATAATGTTTGAAAATTAAATGGGTAAATTATAAACTTTAGTCACTAAACTTTAGGGTATTTATAAGATTAGTCCTTAAGTTTCAACTATAAATACCCTAGCTCATTTAGCTTCAAAATCATCCCAAAGCATTCTAGCTTTCTTTCAATACTAGAGAGAATTTAGAGAGTTTCTTGAGAGTTGTTTTCTCCTTTTTATCAAGAGAGAATTATCATTGTTTTCTTCTTGGTAGATCGAGAGAAGTTGTAATTCATATTTTCTCATAGTGAAATTCTTCTACCGTTGCCCGTGGTTTTTACCCTATTTTATATAGGGGTTTTCCACGTAAATTTTGTGTCTTCTTTATCTTCATTTTATTTTCTCAAATTATCAGTTGCGATTTTGCTCTATCCGATAGCCGTCTTCCGCAACAATTGGTATCAGAGCTAGATTAGAGTGTGTAATATCTGCTTATTGTCTTTATGGTTGCCACCAAAAGGTAGATCCTCCAACATAAGAAAGTAAGAAGGTATTACCCATTCTTTGAAGGTTCCAAAGAACTATTCACGATAGTGAAATAGTAGGAGCTATCCGTAAAAAAAGCTATGGCAACGAAATTTGATATTGAAAAATTCAATGGGAGAAATTTCTCATTGTGGAAATTGAAGATGAAGGTCATCCTGAGGAAAGACGGTTGTCTAGCAGCTATCAACAAAAGGCCAGTAGATTTCACATACGACAACAAACGGATCGAAATGGACGGAAATGCTATGGAAAACTTTCATCTAGCATTAGCAGATGAAGTATTGTCAAACATCGAGGAGAAGAAGACATCTAAGGAGATATGAGATCATCTCATCAAATTGTACGAGGCCACATCGCTGCACAATAAAATTTTCCTTAAGAGAAAATTGTACACTCTCCGTATGCCAGAATCTACTTCAGTGACAGAGCACTTAAATACACTGAATACTTTATTTTCTCAGCTTACATCCTTAAGCTGTAAAATAGGAGAACAAGAACATGATGAACTTCTACTTCAAAGTCTACCGGATTCGTATGATCAACTCATCATCAACTTGACAAACAGTAATGTCACTAGTCTAGTCTTTGATGATGTTGCAATTGATGTTCTACAAGAAGAAAATCGGCGCAAGAACAAGGAAGACAGACAAGTAAATCTGCAACAAGCAGAAGCATTGACAACGATGAGAGGGAGATCAACAGAACGTGGCCAAAGCAGCAGTCACAAACATGGTAGATCGAAGTCGAGGAGCAAGAAGAATTTAAAGTGTTACAATTGTGGAAAGAATGGTCATTTGAAGAAGGATTGTTGGAGTCTAAATAAAAACTCCAATCCACAAGGCAATACCACAAACACTTCAGATGATGGAGATGCTCTATGCTGTGAAGCGTCAACCACCGTGGAAGGAAGAAAACGATTTGCAGATATATGACTCATTGATTCGGGAGCAACATATCACATGACCTCAAGAAGAGAATGGTTCCATCATTATGAACCTGTCTCAGGAGGATCTGTGTATAGTTGCAATGATCATGCCTTAGAGATCGTTGGCGTGGGAACTATCAAATTGAAGATGTATGACGGAACAATTAAAGTTGTTCGAGATGTGCGGCACGTGCAAGGCCTGAAGAAAAATTTATTATCCTACGGATTGTTGGATAATAATGCAAGCAAGATTAAAACACGGAAAGGAATCATGAAAGTGTTCCGTGGAGCACTTGTGGTACTGAAAGGCGAAAAAATAGTTGCAAACTTGTACATGCTGAAGGGAGAGACTTTGGTAGAAGCAGAAGCCTCTGTTGCCTCATGTAGTTCAGATTCGACAATGGTATGGCATCAGAAACTTGGACACATGTCAGAACAAGGAATGAAAGTCATTGTAGAGCAAAAGCTACTTCTAGGCTTAACAAAGGTATCACTTCCTTTGTGTGAGCATTGCATAACAAGTAAGCAGCACCGGTTGAAATTCAACACATCAATTCTAGAGGCAAAAGTGTTCTAGAATTGGTTCACTCTGACGTATGGAAAGCACCAGTAACGTCCCTAGGTGGAGCAAAATACTTTGTCTCATTTATTGATGACTACTCCAGGAGATGTTGGGTGCACCCTATTAAGAAGAAGTCAGACGTGTTTTTAACTTTCAAAAACTTCAAAACGCGGGTGGAACTTGATTCTGGAAATAAGATCAAGTGTTTCAGAACAGATAATGGAGGAGAATACACAAGCGAAGAATTTGATGACTTTTGCAGGAAAGAAGGCATCAAAAGACAGTTCACAGTGGCGAACACTCCTCAACACAATGGAGTGGCAGAGCGGATGAACAGAACCTTGTTAGAAAGAACAAGAGCAATGTTGAGGGACGCAGGCCTAGAAAAATCATTATGGGCAGAAGCAGTTAATACCGCCTGTTATTTGGTGAATCGAGCTCCATCAACTGCAATAGAGCTGAAGACACCAATGGAGATGTGGACTGGTAAACCAGTTGATTATTCAAACCTCCATGTATTTGGAAGTATAGTGTACGTGATGTACAACGCCCAAGAAATTTCAAAGCTGGATCCAAAATCCAGGAAATGCAAATTCTTGGGGTATGCTGATGGAGTAAAGGGGTATCGCTTGTGGGATCCCACTGCCCGCAAAGTGATCATTAGCAGGGATGTTATCTTTGTAGAAGATAAACTACAAAGAAAAGAAGACGATGATAGCGCTGAAAAGTCAGAGACTACTCAGATACATGTGGAAAAAGAGTTTGAAGAAGGAGATTCTTCTGAAGCAGAACCAGCACATGATGAACAAGAACCA